TGAGTAGTATTCCATTGTGTATATATACCACATCTTCTTTATCCAGTCATCAGTTTCTGGGCATGTAGGCTGGTTCCACGTCTTGGCTATTGTAAATAATGCTGCGATGAACATAGGGGTGCAACGGACTCTTGAGATATCTGTTATCAGGTTCTTAGGATAGATACCCAGTAATGGGATGGCTGGGTCATAGGGTATTTCTATTTTTAACTTTTTGAGAAATCTCCATACTGTTTTCCATAGTGGCTGTACCAGTTTGCATTCCCACCAACAGTGTATGAGGGTTCCTCTTTCTCCACAACCTCTCCAACATTTGTCGTTCTTGGTTTTGGATGTTTTTGCCAATCTAACGGGGGTAAGGTGATATCTTAGTGTAGTTTTGATTTGCATTTCCCTGATGATTAGCGATGATGAACATCTTTTCATGTGTCTATTGGCCATATTCATATCTTCTTTTGAGAAATGTCTGTTCATGTCCTCTGCCCATTTTTTGATCGGGTTGTTTGTTTTTTTGTTGTTAAGCAGTGTGAGTTCTTTGTATATTATGGAGATTAACCCTTTGTCGGATAAGTGGCTTGTAAATATTTTTTCCCAATTAGTGAGCTGTTTTTTTGTTTCAATTCTGTTTTCCCTTGCCTTGAAGAAGCTCTTTAGTCTGATGAAGTCCCATTTGTTTATTCTTTCTATTGTTTCCCTCAACTGAGGAGTTACAGTGTCCGAAAAGATTCTTTTGAAACTGATGTCAAAGAGTGTACTGCCTATATTCTCTTCCAAAAGACTTATTGTCTCAGGCCTAATCTTTAGGTCTTTGATCCATTTTGAGTTTATTTTGGTGTGTGGTGAAAAAGAATGGTCAATTTTCAATCTTTTGCATGTGGCTGTCCAGTTTTCCCAGCACCATTTGTTGAAGAGACTTTCTTTTCTCCATTGTAGGCCCTCTGCTCCTTTGTCGAAGATTAGCTGTCCATAGATCAGGTCCCCTTTTACACCTTTAATAGTTTCTTAAATTTCTCCATAAAAATTTTGTACAATATGTATTAGGTTAATTCTGGAATTCCCTAGGGTTTGGGTTGCTATTATGGATGTTAATTTATTTTCTTTTAAATTTTCTGTGTAATAATAACTAGTAAAAAGGAACGCTATTGATTTTTGTTATCTTGTCCTGTATCTGGCAATCTTGCCAAATTCTCTCGTTATTTCTAATCATTAGTCCATTTATTTTATTCTGATTTCTATGTAGATGATGATATAATCTGCAAACAATAAGAGGGGTTTTTTCTTGTCAATCATACGCCACTTGTTTCTTTTGCTTTTCTTATTGGGTTTGCCAGGACATACGGTACTATATTAAACAGTAGGGATGATAGTGGGGATCCTTGTCTTTTTACCAATCTAAAGAAAACGAGTCCAAAGTTTCTTCATTAAGTGTGATATTTCCTGTAAATTTCTAGTAAAGAGGCTTTATCAAGTTAGAGACGTTCTAAACAATTTATGAAATATTTTTCCTACATCTGTTGAGATAATTATGTGGTATTTCTCTTTTAGTGAATTAACTAGATGAATTACGCTGATAGATTTTCTGACAATAATCCGTTCTTGCATTTCTAGCATGAACCAAGACCACGATATATTCCTCTCAGTATTTGTTGGCTTCAGTAGCTGTGTTTGTTTGTGAGGGCTGCCATAACAAAATACCATAGACTTAGTGACCTAAACAACAAAAGTCTATTTTCTCACAGTTCTGGAGGATAGAAGTCCAAGTTCAAGGTGTTGGCAGATTTGGTGTCTTCTGAGACCTCTTTCCCTGCCTTGCAGATGGCTGCCTTCTTGCTGTGCCCTCACATGGCCTTTCTCTCTGTGCACGTGCATCCCTAGTGTTTCTTTTGTGTGTCCAAATTTCTTCTTCTTATGAGAACACCAGTCAAATTGGAGTAGGGTTCCCCCATATGACCTTATTTGACCTTAATTACATCTTTAAAGGCCCCAGCTCCAAATACAGTTGCATTCTGAAGTCCTGGGGGTTAGGACTTCAGCATATAAGTTTTGGGCAGGACACAGTTCAGCCCATAAGAGTAGCTATATTTTGAATTTTTACATCTATGTTCACAAGAATATTTGGCCTGTAATTTTATTCATAAATGAGTTGGGAAGATTTCTATTTTATTCTATTATCTGGAAATACTTGTGTAAGTTAGAGTTTTATATTCCTTGAAATGTTGGTAGAACTTCCCAGTAAAACCTCTATGACTAGGGAGTTTTTTTAATATATGGGGTAAAGAAGAATCTTTTATGAGCATTTCATTTTCCTTAATATTTGTTGATCTATTCTAATTTTTTATCTCTTATTATTTCAATTGTGACATTTACATTTTCTCAGTTTTTATCTGGATTTCAAATATATATTTCATAATATCTAGTAACTTTATGGCTTTCTTTCACATTTGCATCATTCATTAAAATGGAATTAGCCTTTGTCTATGATATGAGATATGGATCTAAAATGTTTCTCCTTTAATGAGCCTACTGTCCCAGCATCGTCTATCCAACTGTCCATTCCCTTCCCAATGATTCACAGAACCCCTTTATCATATACAAAATTTCCACACTCATAGAAAGGATTTTATTTTTGTTTTATCTTTTTCTTTTTCTAATTCAAATGTTTACAAAACACTGATACTTGTTTTCACTACAGATATTTAACGATCACAACATCCCTGCCAGGTACTGTCTCTGTTTCTCCGATGAGCGAACAGGGGTTCAGAAGGATCCTATTTAGCCTAAAGCTCATATGATACTGAGTGACATCCCAGGATTTCTGACTTCAAATTCATTGTTCTTTTCCCAATTCCCTTACTGCCTGTTTAAGCACCTGGTTCCTTGTACCCAACTTCATCCATTCATTTGAAATCTTTTGGGGCCGGCCCGGTGGCACAGTGGTTAAGTTCGGACGTTCTGCCTCAACAGCACAGGGTTCGCCGGTTCGGATCCCAGGTGTGGACATGGCACCACTTATCCAGCCATGCTGTGGTAGGCGTCCCACATATAAAGTGGAGGAAGATGGGCGTGGATGTTAGCTCAGGGCCAGTCTTCCTCAGCAAAAAGAGGATTGGCGGCAGATGTTAGCTCAGGGCTAATCTTCCTCAAAAGAATAAAAAACAAAAATAAATAGATATCTATTGAACACTTTCTATGTTCCAGACACTAGTCTGCGTTCTAGGGCTGCGGCAGCAAATGAGACAGATAGAAATATCTGCCCTCCTAGAGCTTCCATGGCAGAGGGCCCAGGGTAGCTATGAACACAGATGCAATAACTAAGAAACACTACTTTGGGTAACAATGGCTATTCTAGTAACTACTTGGCATCCATCCTTCCGAGGAGTTCAATGCCTCACTTTGTGTGTAGAGTCAAAGGAGGTCGTGCAGAAGTTGCCGGACTCTGACTAGTGAAGGGGTGGCACTGAATCCCCAAGTCTGACAAGACACGTTGAAGTCACCCAGACTGTGACTCTATCTTTGGGCAATTTCAAAGTTCCTTTACTCTGCCAGATAGATTTCTGCCGTTTCCTCGTCACCTGAATTAGGTTCAGAGCATACTTCTCACTGTCTAACCCAACCCCTCCCCTACTGCCACGATTAACCCTGGTATTTCAAAATGTTCTGGGTGGACATGAAGAGCAGCCACTTTCTACCACCAGAAAGGCCCCCTACAGAGAAGTTTCTTCTCATTTGAAAACATTTTAACGTTTAAGACTAGAAATAAAGTCAAACTGGTGTAATGCATCCTGTTTTATAGCGATAGATCAGTTGAAGATTGCTGAAAATTGACTACAAAATTGAATGATTTAAAAGGTGCCCTGGGTCTATCTCTCTGCCTCTAGGGAATAAAAATTAATTCATGATGAACAGATGGCAAGATCCAATTTCCGTCTTTAGAAAAAGTAATTGGATTTTTAGCTGGGCCCGTGGGCACTCTGAATAAAGACAGGATTTCCCAGCTTCCCATGTGACTACATGACGGATTTCTGGCCAATAGAATGTGGGCAACTTCACAGTCATGCTTTTAAGAGGGAATATGCGCTCCCTTTCCTTTTCTACCTTCCCTTGGGCTGGAAGGGAATCCAGTGGGGGACACTTTGGACTGTGGGGATGAGGGGAACATCCTATGGATGGCACAGCAAAAAGCTAAGAGCCTGGATCCCTCTTGGCTTTATGGAGTGGAACCTCAGTACCAGCTGGGACTTTAACAAAGTAGGGAAATCAATTTCTATCTAGAGTCACTGTTACCTAGGTCCCATGCAACCAAACCTATATCCTCGCTCATGTCCCCCAGTGTTCAGCCAACTTCTTTGTTCTTCCTAACATACACTCTCAGGCGTTTCTACTGTGTTCAAATAATTTTTCTTCTTGTTCTTTAGTGAAAGGAGTTGTTGTCCATTTCCTACCAATAATTAGTATCAAATAGAGAATATACCTTATATTAAAGTAACTCTTTGTCTAGGCTTGAGCAGCCATAATTCTTTCAAATTTTAAGAATTAAGTTGCCAGACCACGGAGAACTTTGTAAATTTTTTTTATTATTTTACTATTAAAAAATGTTAATCTTGAGAACAGTTTAGTGGTTACCAGGGGAAAGGGGGTTGGGTGGTGAGCACAAGGGGTGAAGGGACGCATTTATATGGTAACTGACAAAAAATAACGTACAAGTGAAATTTCACAATGTTACAAACTATTACAACCTCAATAAAAAAATTAATAAAATTTTAAAACGAACCCAATTTGTTTGGGGGCTAGTTATGTAAATCATGGCACACTCATATGATAGAATTTATGAACCTATTTAAAATATTATGTGGACTTATGGTTATTGACATAGAAAGATGTTACATGAAAAAGTCAGGTTATAAAATAGCATATGGAGTATAAAGTCAGTCTACAAAAGAAAGAATATTCATATGTGTGGACATATATTCAGAAAAAAATTGCATTAGACTGTAACCGTGTTCCTATGTAATTAATATAATATGTTAACGTAACTTTAATTCTGAAAAGACACACAAACCGCTAAAAAAATGTTAATCTTCAAATTGGTTAGTCTTAAAAACTAACTGTATATTTGTTTTTATACATTATATACACTTGAAAAATAAATAGTATTCTTAACATTTTTTTTAAAAAAGCATCATCATATACAAATAAGGTCTAAGACCAAATGTATAAATACAGGACCCACCAAGGATTGGATTCCCAAGGCTTCCATGACTAAAAACAGAAGTCAGAAGTAACCAGAATGCACAGCCAATAATACAAGCTTCACTTTGACTAGAAAGCAGTCACAGAAGCAAGAGAAGAAGCCACAAGTGGATGGAGAAAATACCTTGAATTAAGACTTGACTGGTTATGTCTTCTGAAGTTTGGCATTAAATAATGATACAACTTTGGCACAATACAGATTAAAACAATGTCCTTTAAAAATTTAAGTACAAAGAAAATCGCTCTTCCCCCCACCTGACATCATACCTCCTTCCAGATAATCTCATCCATAAAAAGCCCAACCCCTTGGCATAGTCATTGTCCTATAATAAAAGGGTTTATGGTTTTATGGATGGCTCTGAAAACAATTCCTTGTTTGTCACATCTGGGGCATATTGATGGAAAACGGCTGTAGAGGTCTTGATGAAGTTGCAGAGTTGAACATACCACGAACTGTGCTTCCAAGAAATCTGGGTCCTCAGCCTGGCTCCGCTACCGACTTGTATATAATTGTAGGCATGTGGCTGAACCTCACTAGTCTTGGTTTTGTAAAATAGAGATAATAATAGCTGCCCAGCTCACGTCCTGTTGAGAGTCTCTAATTAGGTGATACACATGCAAAAGGATTTCTCAGATTTCATGTCTATTAATTCAAATCAAGATCTCAAATTGGAGGCTTTTCCAAGAGGTTTAACCTAGCAAAGGCACTGGTATTAGAACAAGAGATTCCAAGGAGGAAAAAGCACTGTTTTAAATCTTAGCTCCAGCTCTGTTTGACAGACGCTGATTTCTGCATAAACAGATATGTATAACATATGTAATACCTTCCATCTTCCTAAACAGAAGAGATTTTTCTCCCAAGCAATCATTCGGCAATTGGCCACCTTTCCATCCCCAGCACGTGTGATACGCTGCTCACTACTCTGCTAGTGATCAAACCTGTCACTCTTAGGGGGAACACCCATGTTAACTAAGAAGAAATAGGTAGAAATCACTTAAAGCCTCAGGGTCCCCAACTCTTACGTCCTGTAGCGCTCTCAACGGCCGTCGTGCCTTTCGTCACATATATATTCATGAACTATCTAAACTGGAAGGGGGGCTAGATATCCCACGGCCATTAGGTTCCAAATGAGGAGACAGTTTGGAGAGGTTTACTAATTTGTCTACTGCCACTCACTAGTTCAGTTTAAGTGCTTAATAAACATTTGTTCAATCAAAAAATGAGCAATGGAAAAATAAGAAAGCCAATGATGCATGCTCTAGGGAGTGAGTTGGGGAGCAGGTCAGAATGTCTAAAATGTACCCAGTATTGATCAACGTAGCGCATCGAACCCAAAAAGCAAGGGCATCAGCACCAGCCCAGATCTATTCTCCCCTCTCTGGGTGAACAGGGTCATAGGTCTGCCATCCTGACATGAGTCAGCTCCCAGCAGAAAGACCTCGCACTACGGCTCAAGTCAGGTCAAGCAGCTGACAGGTTTCCACACAGCCACTTCAGAGTGAGAGTTCCTTGTCAGGAAAAACACAGGCTCATCCAGTCACTTAGAAACCAGCCTGGTGTGCACAAGGGGCCTGGGCATCCGGCTGTCTGCACACAGATCTGGAGTGAGAGCTATTCTAGAGCAGCAGCAGGAACAGCAGGGGTAGCAGTGCATGGTCCTCTCCGGGAAGAAGTCCCAGCCATCGTAGGAGGCAAGGTCCTGGGCCCAGCAAGCAGGCTCTTCCGGGTGCCCCAGGACCAAGGCTGAGAGGGGTCCTTCCGTCAGGTGGGTCCTCAGCAGTAACTTTCCTCCGTGTGCTTGGAAGGCGGGGGCAGGGGGCCTGGCTGGCACCTTCAGGGAAGCTCCACAGTTGGGCTGAAAGGAACCGTTGAGAGTGGCGTTGGTTAGCTGGCTTAGCGATCATGCAAGCCTGACTGAGGATGCGCTCTGCTCACCTCAAAACCAAGCTTTCTTATGTACCCGTCAAACTCTTTTACTTGCTTCCCTTTCAGAACAAATAGAAAAGGTCCTGAGGGCTTCTTTCTCCCCCTCCTCCAACAAGCCACAGATTCACTTTGAGAAACACCATGCTGGAGCCCTCTCTGGCTTCCTAGTTCCATACACCTCAGCGCTGGCATTCACATGTTTAGCACAACACTCACTCGCAGCACACACATGCACATAAGCACACGCACACACACAACCGCACGGAGAACTACTAGTGAGTCCTCTTTGCCTTGATCTAGAAAGACAAGAAAGACTGTAGTACGGCAGCAAAGGGACAAGACAGAGTCAGACATCTTGATTCTGGTCTCAGCTACACTAATGCGCTACTGATCCTCCTGGAACCTCAGTTTGCTTATCCGTGAGTAGGTGAACAGTATCCGTGTCAGGAGAGAGAATACTGAAGGTGTAACATATGTCTAGAGAGGTCATGACTTCCTTTGTTAATTTGTTACTCAGGCTCCTACTGTCTTCTGCTCCTTTGAGAGTAAAGGAAAGGATGAGTTGTTTTCTCAAAGAGGTGGTAGGAGGCGAGCTGCATCATTCTCAACTGTTGGGAAGTTCTGGAGCAGAAAAGAACAACTTGTCTTTTAGGATATTTTATCCTAAGAACAGCAATAAGAATGGTAATCCTTCCTTGGCGTGTCCAATCTACACGGCTGTTCTGAGGATCAATGAAGTTAATATATGTGGAAGTACTTGGAAAGGTATACATTTGAATACAAACATAAAGAATTAAAATTACTATTATAGCAGAAAATCATACGAGCCTACACTAGACAGAGTCACTTAATTAGATGGGCAGTTTTCAGAATCCCACAGTCTTGTGATCACTGAACTTGTGGTCATGCTGATGCTTCTGAACAGGAGACAGAGCAGCTGGGACGGAGCCCGGCCCTCAGGGTTGGCAGACGGTTAATCACAGGGGACCCCACATGAGCACAGCTGCTTCATAATTGATACCCAGATGGAGGTGAGGTATTCATCTGAGAAACTGGAACCTACACGCTCAAGAAACAGCACAAGCTTTAGAGTAAACCAACTTGCTGCAAATCCTTATTTGGTCATCACATGCTGGGGGACCTGGACAGAGTGACTTCACCTCCCCAAACCTCAGGTTCCCCACCTGTACACAGGTTAAGAACACCAGCATCATGGGGTTGATGATAAAAGTAAATGAGATAATGTATGGAAGTCACCAAATGCAGGTGGGCACATGCTATGTGTTCGGTGTATGGCAGCAGCATCATTATCCAGTAGCGTGGTTGGGCCAAGAGGGGGGCGCCTCCTCCTCCGCAGGTGTTTAGGCTCAGAGGGTGTGTGATGGATTTCCCTTTTGGATGCACCCACCACCTCACACCATGAGACCAGCCTTCCTCAATTCTGAAATAATGAGACTCCAGCTTGGGGCAATGGGATACTGAAGCATGATGACCCCTTTGTCAGATTCAGTGCCACATACATGAGCAGTTCTGCTTCTCAAAAAACGGAGAATTGCCCACTAATATCAACTCATACAACCTGGGTTCCAGAATACCTAAAAATGGGAGTATACCTTGTGCGTCTCCTTTATGTCCCACTCCACTCAACCTGGTGCCCAGAAGGAAGCTAGGAACCCTGGCATATTCTCACAGCCATGGTCACTAAGGAGTTCAATCTAAGACAGGTGCAAGAGCACCCACCCCAGAGACTTAGTCCCTGAAAGATCTCATTCCAGCAGGACCATGGGCTGTGACAACTATGAAGTGAGGCAGAACAAGAGGCCAAGGGACATTAACAACCTCTGACATCCTACGCATTCCACCGATTCTCTATCTCCTTCCAGCAGAAGGTCAGCTTCATAAAGAAAGGGGTTTTCATCTGTTTTGTTCACTGCTATGTCCCAAGTGCCCAGACCCACATCCAGCACACGCTAGGTGACCCGCAACGTGTACTGCATGAACAGATGAGGAGTCCCGCTTACCTGGTTTCATTTTTCATTCTCCAGCCATCCCGACACTTGTGAAACCAGAGCTCCTGGCCAGGGGATATGCTGGTGTTCTCAAGGTCTTCTGCACAAAAAGTCAATCTAGGAGGAAAAAGAAACCACCAATGTAGCCAAAATTCCATGGGGAGGTAATGGCTGTGCATCAGCCAGAGGGTGCTTTCTGCATCCAAGGTGGAGGGAGCAAGGAGAAAAGAGAAGTTGCCATCATGCCACAGCCTGACGCAAAAACCTTCAGAACTCCCATCGCTACTGCAAGCACTCTAAGCCACGTCTCACTTGGACATCTTCCATAATCTGGCTCACGCAGCCTTTCACCATACCTCTTCCACCTTCTTTGCTCTGTCTATCCCAGAGGCACAGCCTCTCTGAAGCCCCCCTGACTGCCCAAACCCTTGACCTCTCAATTTAACAGAAAAGCACATCCTTATAATGTTGCTTTTGTTGCTATTACTTATTATGGCATGGAGTTAATAATGAATGTTTTGTCTTGGTTTAACACATTATACACTGCCTTGAATTGCTCATGGATTTCTACATCTATGGTGGACTATAAACTCCTCGAATGGAGAAACTCAAGGTACCTCAAGTACAGTGTTCATAAATATCCATGAACAAGGGTAATTGGAATTCATCTTCAAGTCAAAATCAAAGATTCAGCAAATGGACAACCAAGACCACAGAAAGAATCAGGGGTCTCATAACCATTAACTATAACTTACAGCCAAACCATGTGGGCTACCCCAGCCTTGGTTATGGTTAGCATGACTCCATGACCAAGAGATGGATGGGACACCTGACCTTGATGCTGACCCAAAGGACAAAAGACACATTCAGAACAGCTTTAAGAATCTTTACCAGGAAGCCCAAACAGCCCATAAGCATATAAAAAGTTTACCCACCACACTCACAATCAGGAAATGCAAATTAAAACAACAGGTGGTAGTAGTCAATTCTCACCCAACAGAATGGCGAGAATGTTTCAACAAATGTAGATGAGGAGGAGGGGAAAGGAGACCTCTTATTCTGAGGCTAAGATTGAAAACTGGTCCAACCACTCTGGAGAAGGATGTAGTAATACCTAATCAAGTTGGAGGATACATATGCCATAACCCGGTGACTCAACTTTTTAGTATACCTGCCCCAAAGAAGCCCTCACACACGTGCACAAGGAAAATGTACAAGGATATTCATCCCAGCACAATTTGTGACTGCAAAAAGGAAGCAACAACTTCAATATTCACAGAACAATGGTGAAGCTATTCTTTGTACAATAACAGTTTACATAAAGGAGTTAAAGGTGAATAGCTTAGATCTATATGTATTGGGTAAATTTCATAAACGAAGTTGAATGAAAAAAGCAATGTGTTAAGGGATATGGTCGTTCACGTAAACTTCAGAAGAATCGAAAACAATTCTATATGCTGTTTATACATATACAAACAGAAGGACTAAAGGTCTAAGATCACGAAGGCGGAAAACACACTACCACTAGTTAGTGTTGGAAGATGAGTACATTTGGTTTGAAAGGGGAAGAACAGGACAGGAGAAAGGCACAAAGGGGCTTCAATTCTATCTGTCATGTTTTACTTTGTAAAATCCTGTATCTGAAACCCATATGGAAAACTGTTTACCTTTGTTAAGTTTCAGTGGTTTATTATATTTGAAATATGTTATAAAAGGGACCATCTTTCTGCTACCCCACCCACAGGTACAGGCTGCACTTACAAGCGCCAAGAGAAGGAAAAAGACATAATTATCTAGGTCACAGTCTTGGTGCTAACGGTTCCCCAGCTGGTACTCCCCAGTTCACAGGTTTCTAGACCAGAATCACTCAGACAAGGGACCTGAGCCTCCACTCCCCTCGAGGCCAAGCTGTGCCATAGGTGATGGATGGAAACAGGACACGTGAAGAGTTGTGATGGAGAAAATGCCAGATGAGGTACAAAGAGGGTGGAGGCTGCTTCTTCCCATCCCGAGGCTGGCAGTGCCCTCCCAGAGGCCTGCTGGAGGACGTGGTCAAGGAAACCCTCCTCTGTTGACACAGGTCTCCCAGGCTTCCCTGGCTTCTACTTAGAAAGAAGTGGGCTCAGAGAGTCAAGGCACAGTTTTAGGGGCTGATATATAAATGGTCTGGATTTTTCATGCTAGGCGTGGGGCTAAAAGACATGGGGAACCTGCCGTGGTGTAGAGGCATGGCAGAGAGGCTTCTCTTCCTTGACCTTAGGATTCCAGCACATGTCCTTGACTCAGAGCCTCCAAAGGAGAGATATAACGCTCTGAAACCAGGATGCTAGGGAACCCAGGTCCTCCCACAGACCTTATCTGTGGGGGCTCCTGAGACTTGATACTCTGGTTTGCTCTGCTCAGGAGAAAGACTTTCGGTTGCTTGGACCTCAGAGCGAATAAATTAGCAAGGCTGTGCTCCTCCAGAGCCCTGGTCCAGGGAAGCCCCTCTTCCTCCAGCCAACACAGGGCTTGGCAAACAGAACAAGGGCTGGATTCCAGCGCCCGGTTGCCCACCCCTCTCAGCTGAGGGCCTGTGATCTGGGCACAAGGTGCGCAACAGCTGACAGACCCCTGCTCTGGAACGCACTTTTCCTTGCACCAGTGTTTGAGGTTTTGCCCGCTGCTCTGCATATGGAAGGACTGAAGGTGCACATTTAGCAAAGGGAAGGACGCCACAGAGGCACGCACCTTTGGCTCACCACTGACATGGAGCCAAAAAGGGTCATGAGGCACTTACTTCTGCTGGGTTTCCCCAGACTTGACCCGGATGCGCCTGATATTCAGCTCCCGCTCGGATTTGCGGGGTTGAGACAGGTAGCTGCGAAGCTCCCTCCACAGGCTGTACCAGGACTGAGGTGTCCCCTTCCAGGTGAGTTTAATCTTCAAGAGGTCTCCCAAGTCCTCCTCGGTGTAGACCAGGAAGGAGTTGGTGGCATTCAGCCCGATCTGCTCCACTCTACAAGAGGAGAGAAAAGCCGGTCTCACTCCCCTGCCACCTGGAAAACTTCTGTACCATGTGGGGTGACACTGTGGCAGCACCTGCCCCACAGTGACTGGAGTGAAACAAGCAAGAGGTCCCTCTTCCACACCCTCCATGGCCCCCCTGCAGAACCAGGACAGAAGCTCAGCTGTGTTCCACACGGACAGAACGACAACTCTGCTCACAGCACCCTGACTTCTTATCCTAACCCTTCCAGAGCATCTACCCATTTATGCTACTTCCTGGAGGGACAGGACCAAGAAAGAACAGAAATGAGAAAGCCCAAAGAAGTCGCATCCCCACCCAACAGTGTCCTCTTCCTCTCAGCCCTCAGGCATCTGTCTCCCTCAGACTCCTAGCCTCCTCCTGCCTGTCCCTCTCATTTGACCTTTTGGAGGAGCCTGCCTTGCCCCACTTTTGTGCATGTGTGTACAAATCTGGTCTCCCAACTAGACCCTGAGCCCTGAGAGTGATACTTTGATGACATTGCTTTGAAATCCCAACATTACTCAGCACGGTGCTTTGTACTCCGTGAGGGCTCAACAAATACATACAGATTGCTGTGTCCCTCCCACAGATCATTAGAAACGGTCCAGGGATGACGTTTAGGAAGTTCCTAAAGCCTCAGGTGTCAGGCGTTGCCTGAAATGAAATAGCAGTTTCTGCCCAGCTGATCCAGCAGCTTCTCGCATTGCTGATTCATCCCTGGAGCTTCCCTCCCAGAAATGTTCTGAGTCAAGGGCTTAAAGGAGAGTGTACAGTGGGAGACAGGACGGCAGAGTCCAGTGGAACCATCCAGCTCCTCCCCGAGACACTCAGAAGACTCTCTTCTGTACTTGTTCACACATTCCCGCACTCTCTCCCACTCTCAAACCAACTTGTTCTCTGTCCTGAACCCAGCAAGGGAAACTTGTGACTTACATTTCCAAAGGCAGATTCTGGGAGTCGGCGTTGGTGCCATAAAGGGTGACATAAAAGGTGGGCTCAATTTCTCCCATGTACTTGTAGCTGAAGACATGGATTTTCATCTGATAATGGTAAACTGCAAAGACAGCAGGAAAGACATGTGTGAGCCTTGCTTGTCATCTCAGGGCACCCTGACCCAAACTGAGTCACCTAGCACACTGAGTTTTTAGGGACCGACATCCTTTTGGTCCAGCCCAGCCTCTAGTCTCCCTCTGGTCTCATTCTGTCCAGTGACATAAGAGGGCACTGCAGTATAGAAGAAGGAGCTCTGACCTTGGGGTTTGGGGGACTTTTTGGGGATTCTGGCCAACTTTCTAGCTGTGTAACCTTGAATTAAGGACCAAGGTATTAGCCTCTTCAAGCTTCAACTTCCTCATATGTGAAATAATACTCGCAAAACCTTATGGTTTATAACACGTCATAAAAATACAAGATATCATTTTGACCCCTGTTGGTCCTACTTCAGATTATTATGATAATCAAATGAGAAGACAAACATGAAACAGCTTTGAAAAATTAAATGTAAGATAGAAATTTAAGATATTGATATTGTGATCACGGAGTGAGGATTCACATCACCAAAGGAGTCTCCACCTTTTTTATTTTTATTTTTTTGGTGAGGAAGATTGACCCTGAGCTAACATCCATGCCACTCTTTCTCTATTTTGTATGTGGGTTCCCGCCACAGCATGGCTTAACAAGTGTAGGCCTGTGCCTGGGATCCAAACCCACAAACCCTCAGCTGCAGAAGCAGAGCACATGAACTTAACCACTACACCATCGGGCCAGCCCTCCACCATTTATTTTTAAAGATTACCTTCCCCAGGGCAGGCACAACATGATCTGATTTGCAATGATTTGATTAAACTATGCTGGTCACATAGCCCGGGCTGGGATGTGCTCTGTTGTAAAGGTGATATTTAGAAGGAAGGAAAAGACAAAGTCCTCCGCCAGGGCACTGCGGGCTGGGACTGAGGCTCACCTCTGAAAGGCATGCCTGCCCGGGTTTTCAGGTACATTTTGCTGTTCCTCTTGTTCCTCATTTTCTTGGCGTTGTAGCCAATGCTATTACAACGGTTCTTCCGGCAGCTGAGACAGATGCCCTTTTTGAAGCGGTTTGAGTCCGTGCACTGGAAGGCAAAGCTCGGCTTGTCCTGATTCACCAGGGAGTCGACAAACAGGTGTACTGCACGCTCATGCTCACATTGCACCCCCTCTGCAATTGCTGGAGGACAGAGAGACAGAGAACACATAGGACGAAGTGCCGCTCGATGATTCGCCCACTCGCTCAATAAGTACTGTACACCTCATCAGTAAAAACGACTTCTATTGTTACTGTTAGCATTCTTCTGTGTGTCGTTCTTAATGCACGCCCAGTGATGTGCTAGGCTCCCATCAGGATGTAGAAGAATTGACAGCCCTTCCTGCTGCCTAACTGCTTTCTCTCCAGGTGGGAAGACAGCACTAATACACACAAAGAATGAAGAGCAAGAGAGTACATATAGCAAGCACTGAATAGTGTGATGGAGACCAGTTGTGCAGGAGGAGTCACTAACTCCTAAGAGAGTTGTACAGTCACAAAATGCTGGAAATGGGTCAGATGCTAAACCCCACCTAGTCCAGGGCTCAGCAAGTGATGGCTTGCAGGCTAGCCCTGTTTTGGTAAATAAAGTTTTATCGGCACACAGCCATGCTCATTTGTTTACCCATTGTCTGTGGCTGCTCCCACGTTACAACAGCAGAGTAGAGGGGTCGAAACAGAGACTATAGGACCTGCAAAGCATAAAATATTTACTAGCTGCTCCTTTAGGAAAATGCTTGCCAACCCCTTTCTAGTCCAATCCTTTCAGTTAAAGATTATGGCCCAAAGACCCATAGAGGTGAAGTAATTTGCTTAGGGTCACATAGTCAGTTGGTTATGAAGTTAGGAGTATAGTCTGGGTTTTCTGGCCCATGGTACATCATTATTTCTTGTAACCAGAGGCTAAAGCCAATAGTTCAAGTAAATCCTTGGACAGTAAGAAAAATTTAGCAAAGCCACCCCCATCCTTTCCTCACTAACAGCATCAGCCTTAAGAAACACCATCATCTGATCTCCCGAGGCAGGGCTGACCTCCCCTTGCATGGACCTCCGAGCCCTAAAGGGGCTATTTGGATATTATCGCGTGGGGAGAGGGCACCAGTCTTAAGAGTGGGTGACAGAGTGGGACATCCAAAGGGCAGAGCCTCAAAGTAGAGTTGACCGGGCCAAGACTTAGAAATGCTGCCAGGATGCAAGGCAATGAGCAAATGAAAAACCCAGAAATGGACTGGTCACTGGGGCCACACATCACTTTCAGCAGCAAATTCAGTTCAGCCCAAGTCTGCTGGGAACAAGCTCAGGCACTCAGTAGATTTCAGAAGAGAAATCATAAGTGAATGGAGAAAGCGTCTTGGTTTTACTTCTTCAAAATGTTACAAAAAATAAAATCATAGTGCATCCATACTAACGACTATTATACAGCCTTTAAAAGGAATAAGGTAAACAGATCTATGTGCTCTGATGTTTAAGAATGTCCATAATATGTATTACGTCTGAAAAAGGAAAGTTGCAGAACAATGTGATTTTGAAAAATATAATCACTCACACACATAACACACATACACACACACACACAAATAAATTTGCAAAGAAAAAAGACTGGAAGGATACAAGCAAATTGTTCACATCAGCTGCCTCTGAAGAGTGGAAGTAGGAGCGGAGTGGGAGGTGAGGGGGATTTTCACTTTTTCCTTTATGCAATTTCATATTGCTTGATTTTTTTCCCCAACAAACATGTATTCCTTTTGTTATAAAAAGAAAGTAATCCATAATAACTGTAACCTCAAAGCAGGAGAAAGCAGAGCAGAGACCGCAGGAAGGCTGTTAACAGGCTTGTAGGATGAACGGCACTAAGGTGGGAATGATAAAATGGATGTTGCTAGTACATCAGCTCTGGCTGATTGAGGAGATGTGATAACTGAGTCAAACCTCCACATGAAGCAGAATATAGGAACTCACTTCCATACGCAATTGAGCCGAAGAGATCATTGAGCCCACAGCCAGGCTGGAAGTCACCTCCGTTGGGGTAGATGTCGATGTGGCCCACAGGCATCTGAATCCCGATGCTCAAACCAAAGGAACGTGTGTAGGTGTGGAGGACATCCACAAAGTCTGCATCATCAGGGGACAGCCTCTTGTGGATGTCCACCCCTTCAAACATGGGCCCAGCAGGATCCAAACCTACAGCAGAAGGGGGAGCCAAGATGGACCGTCATGTGCACCAAGTCAACGAGTCTTGATTTAAAGTTAAGTCGGCGTGTACAGAATGAAGACATCCCGGCACTGTGAATCCTGAACAGCGTGGTGCCTGCTGTAGAGGAACTTTCTTCTGAAGGCTTCAGCTGTCCTGACAACTCAGCTGACTCAGTCAGCTAGCCACAAGGCTCACGTAACAAGTGGATGCGAGGAACCATGGACTGTCGGCACTGGAGCGGTTCGACAAAGAATGGGGGCTGACTGAAACTAAGCCATTCACCCCATTTATTCTGCCACTGAGAGCCTTCCACAGCCTTAATGTTAGCAGAAGGTTTACAGAATAACTAAGCTACCTACATCTTCCGGAGGGAAGACTCAGTGTCCCCAAACTGAGCTATCTATATTTGGACTTACTCTTCCCCTTCCTTTAGTTATGAATCAGGCCCAGGGATGGAATGGCAAGAGAGGGGGGTACCCCAGATACTCTGAGAATCCACATCCCAGGCCTCCAGGATTCCTCTATTCTGCAGCCACAAGGAGAAAACCTTTTTGCCTGCAAACTTACTGTATTGAACAGGCAGGCAGCGCTGTAGAGAGCACTGGTTCTCACATTTGAAACAGCACAAATATCACTGGAGAGCTTGCTAACAATTCAAATCCCATTGTGCAGCTATAAAAAAAAAAACTCTGCAAGGAGACACAAGCCCCAGGGTACCTGTGTGTATGTGTCGGGAGAGAGGGCAGAGAAGGGCACTAGGCAGATAGTGGCAACAACAAGAGAGACTTTCACCTTCTTTTAATTTTGGAACCATGTGAATGCAAAACCCTTGAAAAAAGATTGCAAAGCATAAAATGCAGATTCCCTGATACCCTAGAGATTCTGATTGGTAGGTCTGGTGTGGAGCCTGAAAATATGTATTTATTCCCCAGGTGATCCTCAAAGTACGTGGTCTGTGAACCGGATTCTGAAAAATTTCTCCATGTTTCAGTATCATCTGTAAAATGAAATTTCAATGTCTTAAGTCATGCGGTTCATGTGAGATATTAAGAGATGAAGTGCTTGTCGATGTAAAATCTCACTACTATTGCCAAGCCAAAGTAATTATAGGAAGCAAATTCACCGCAACCTAGGAGGCCTTTGCCCTATAGACACAGGGAGGAGACCTGGAGAAAGTTACCAAGAAAATATGTGCCGCAGAGGAGGGGATCTGTTTAGTCTAGAACAGTGGTTCTCAGCTGAGACTGATGTTGCTCCTACGGGCATTTGGCAACGTCTGGAGACAATTTTAGTCAACACAACTCAGGGGATGGAAGGTGGAAGCTACCAGCATCCAGAGAGTAGAGGCCAGGGATGCTGGTAAACATCTTACAATGCTCAGGTCAGCTCTCACACAAAGCAGTAGCTGGCCCAAAATATGAATAGCGCCAAGGCTGAGAAACCTTGACCTAGGAACACCACGCTAGGGAGGAGATATGACCAAGAACAGAGTCGTCAAAGGAGGAGCTGGGTAATGGAACTGTGCTCCCCACATCCCGGAGCACATTGTGAGGCTTGAGAGGGGTGATTTTAGGATAAACAAAAGCCGGAGCTATTGTCTGGAGTGGACAGCAGCTTGTGGAACTCACGACTCATGAGAACTGATAGAAATTGAGCCTCTAAATAGTTTCCAAAAGAAGTTTAGAAAAATGTATGTGTGATGGAGGCAGAAAGGGAGCCCAAGCTGCTTGGGGGCTCATTCCCAGCCCAGGACCCAAAAGAAAGATGGCACAAAAGCAGTGTCCTCCCAGAATAGCCCACAATGACTCTTTTTAGAGGCTGCAAGGACCCCAGTACTGACACAGGCAGCCTCTCCCTGCCTCTCACTATGTCCCCTGGAGGGAAAAAAAAGAAGAACATTCTGCTTTGCAACCAATACAAGAGAGGAGCTCTTGGCTCGGTGTGAACAAAGGTCTCCACCAGACGGTCAGTGCCATGGAAACCAGGCCGTGCTGGAGGAACGCAGGCGGCTGATGGAGCTGCTCGACAGGCCGGCTGACAGGCAGGCTGAGCCTTCACCCACCCAGCCTGACCCGGCCCGAGGCATAGCCAGGGCCCACAGACTCTGGGGAAAAGTTGCACAATTTTCTTTTTCTAACTAGGAATGGGAGGGAGAACTTATCCCCTCCAAAAAAAAAGAGAAGATGGAAAACCACCCCTTCTTCCATGCAATTAGACTCCTCCAAAGGTGTTGTGTTCAACAAATGGAATACACACACGCACGCACACCTGTGCACACACATAAACACACAGGAAAGCCTCTGCAATCTGGCCTCGCAGGGCAGAGCCTACTCTGCCTGAGGAGAGGCAGCATGCTGCAGTGGCTAGGTGCAGGTTCTGGAATCTGAATCCTGGCTCTGCTACTTAGGGCACAAGATATTGGGCCCATTATTTAAGCACTGAGTCCTAATTTCCCCATCTGTAAAATGAAGCCAAACAGACCCCAGCTGCTATGTGGCTTAGAGACAGCCAAGAGTACCTATCACACATTAGGTACTTGACACTAGGTGGCATCTAGCCCAGAGGCTGCAGAAGGGACATTTAATTCATACTTCTTGAATGAATGAATCTGCTTGCTTATTTTTTTTATAACTAGACACAGCTTCAACTAGGAATACAGGACCTCTCTGCTAGTACATTGCAGAATTCCCTCAAAAAAATAAGAAGGTAAATCCTAGCAAACCCCAGTCCACAGCTCTCTGATCCAAGTAAGACAGGGATTCAGGTATCTGCTGCAGGTCCCAGGCTAAGGACCCCCTGCTGGCCTCTGCACAGCAGCATCACCGACCTCAGGACCCCACACAAGCTGCAGTCTCTGTTCCTCTTACCAGTCAGGACCACCAAGCCCCTGGGAAGTCTGAGGGGAGAGGAGAGGGCACAAGCCTCCCCCATCAGACATGCACAACAGCATGCATCAGAGCAGCCAAATACCCTCCGAGGTGCTGCTTGGCAACTGGACAGAGGCCACTCCTTCCTGTCAAGTTCACCCCAGGCCCCCGCTCCACCGTGAAAGGCCAGAGAGAAGGGGCTGTGCTCAGGACATGCGGGCCCCCAGGCTCCACGCAGACAGCATGGAGCACTGATTAGCATTCCGCCAGCAAAGCCTGCATCTCAGCAGCTCCCACTCCAACAGGCAAGGGGAAAGAACTGGAACGCTCCTCACTAGCCCCACCTCATTTCAGATTTAGAAATAGGGAAAGGAAGGATCTGCAGCTTGTCCTTGTTGCCAATGACAGCCTGGGCCCTGGTGCTCTGGCAGGGGCCTTGTGTGCGCTGCGGTTTGAACACAGCTGGCCTGGCTCTGAAACATCTTGCCTCTCACTGAGGGCTGGGAGGAGGTGCTAAGACAATAGAACCCAGAGCGGCTTAAGGCTGAACAGCTTTGTACCGGCAATGGGTTAAGAAGCAGTCATGTGTGGCCACATAATCACTGCCCACTTAACAGCTCAGGCCCCACAGCCTGGTAACCAAAAGTAAAGCTCTCAAGCTACGCTGAATCAAACAGTTGGTTCTAAAGGAGTGTGTGTGTGTGTGTGTGTGTGTGTGGCAGAGGCAGAATTTAAACTGGATCGCACTCCTTCTTTTCCCTTGAGGTCCTGGAGTATCACAGGTAGAGACTGGAAGTGAGCCTCAGAGGTTTGTAGGCCATGGCTCCACCCCAGTACTGCCCCTTAGTTGTTAGCTGTTTGCCCCCGGGGGTGTTGCAGCCACTCACTCACCACCGTGGCCCAGGTTCATTTCCCGGTCAGGAAACCACACCACCCATCTATTGGTTGTCCTACAGTGGCGGCTGCTTGTTGCTGTGATGCTGAAAGCTACGCCACAGGGATTTCAAATACCAGCAGGGTCCCCCATGGTGGATGGGTTTCAGTGGAACTTACAGACTAAGACACACTAGGAAGAAGGACCTGGTCACCCACTTCTGAAAAAATTGGCCATGAAAACTCTCTGAATAGCAGCAGAGCATTGTGTGATGCAGCGCTGGAAGGTGAAAGGATGGCGCAAAAAGAGGGCAGGTTCCTCTCTGCTGTCCACAGGGTTGCTAGGAGTCAGAATTGACTCCACAGTACTAACAAAACCCTGGGTGTTTCCTCACCTGTTGGATTAGACCAGTGGTTTTCAAACTGTGTTCCGTGGTGCTCTGGGACCCTGAGATTCCCCCGGAGAAAAGGAAGGACCAAAGAGCGAGGCTGACACTACCCACCTACACCCAGCTTTGACCAGAACACCCCTTCTATTTCATATATTGGGGTCCTAAACAAGTTTTTTGAATAAAAACTTTATTCAGAAGTTCTATATCAAAACTTTATGTTTTATTCAAAACTTTATATAAAAGTTTTTTGAATAAAGTTTTGTGACTAAAAAGAACATTTGAAAAGCTCTGGATATTCTCCAGGTTTCTTCCAAAGCTAACCCTCTATGGCTCACTCACGCTGGCTCAGAAAAGCCAAGTGACCTCCCCCGAGAGAGCCCAGGGCCCAGCTGTCAGTGGAGACAGCCACGCTTACCCGTGATTCTGCCCACCGTGCCTTTCACGAAGTTGCCAGCGTACCCAGCCACATGAGCTCCAAGGCTGTAGCCGATCAAGTGAACGTTCCGGAGAGAAAAACCATCTTTCCCCTGCAGGAAGTCACAAAAGAGCGTGAGTCAAGAGTGTGGTCCCGAGCCCCCAGGATCACCAACAATTCAGCCATTCCACCACAACGAGGAGGAGACACAGGCGCTGGGGGCAGAGGCCTTCCAGGGCATGGCTGGCATTGCTGGCAATGGAACATAGCCAGGTAAAGGGAGGTCAAAAGAGTGGGTGGCACTTCAAATGCCGAGTGCTGGGGACAGAGTGGAGGCTGTGATTATAAGCTGCGTACCTGACCCTTCCCCTACATGCTTCAGTTCTTTCTGGCAGTATCTAAGTGGGGCAGGGGTGGCAGGGTGGAGGTCAAAGCCACAGACTCACTGGACACTAAGTGCCAGCCACAGCCCACAGCAGCATGCTCCTTGCCTGCCCTCTTAGGCCCAGGAGCTGCCCACTCCTCCCCACAAGCCTGCCCAGGACCCCAGAGCTAAAGCATCCTATCCTGACAGGGCATTAGCTAGCAAGGGGTGAGGAGGTGGAAATTTGACACCACGGCTCAGGAACCGAGCTTTACAAAACAATCTAGGCAAAGGATTGAGGGACCGCTCCAGAATCCTGAATTCTGCCAGAATCCATCAGATTCCATGGGCTTTTGCTTCTAGAAGGTCAGGCTGGAATTGCCCAGAATTGCCCAGATGATTGGGTCACTTTGCCAGTGTACCCCTGCCTCAGGTTAAGTCCTCTGATCTCAGGCAAATCATTGACCTATGAAAAGTAAATTTTAGACGTCCAGATCTGTTTTCCACACTTAATATTTTATGCAAAGCAGTAGGCTGCATTCGTTTGAATCAACCCCCTCCCCACCCTCAGGACAGCCACCTCTCAGAAGCAAGAGCAGACTTCCATAGGGATTTCAGATTACAAGCTGGTCCTGGCTCCTGACCACTCCCAACCAAAGGGCATTAGCAAGTAATGACCCATAAGGCAAATTTTCTTCCTGCAAATAAAGTAACAGGAAAAATCCAGAGACAGATCAATAATTGAAAAGCTTTCTAAAAGTCCCAACTTTCAAGAATTTCAAGTAACACTTGATTCAGTAAAAAATTGAATCCCAAAGATATTCACAGACTCCTGACGTTCTCTGTAACAGTCTGACCTGTATTTCTCAAGAAGCTTCAGGTTCGAGATCCTGCTCATGAGAGGAGATGACTCCCTTTCATCTCATTACCTGCAACCAGTCCAGCATCCTTGCGACATCATGTCCCACCACCCTTGTATTATTGACAGCGTCTCGGTAAAGCTGGTGAGCCAGGGGGAGCCAGTCAACCACCACTACATTGGCTTCTTTCTCTCTTGTCTGTAGGGCTGACACGAGTTTGTACAGCCAGCGTTCAAACAGGCCGCTCATCTGCAGAGAAAACAGGCCATTTTTTAAAAATTCTTCTTCCAGCCTTCAGAATTCTTTTCACGAATATGGAATTCAGCTCCATGACCCTCTCCCCAGCCGATTCACACTGGCTGCTCAGGGAGCACACATCTGCATGTGAGCAGGGCCAGCCACAGGCAGGATTGCTGCCCAGGTGTTTGTCTTCCATTGCTCTTTACATCTCCAGTTTTTCCCATCAAAACTTTCATAGCTGGTGTCCTCTGCTGCTGCCCCCCTGTCTGATAGGGACACTATGAGATAAGCATTGGTGGCAATACTGGCCTGAGGTTAGCCTGAGTCTCTGTCACAGTCAGGCAAGTAGTGGCCTGGTCCATCATTCAAAGGTAGCTGGGGAGGGTTGCCCTGGAGAATCAGCTCCTCTCTTGGAGATGCAGGGAGTTGCTGTCTCCCAGGCAAACGCAGAGTTAACAAATGACCCCTTCCCACAACCCATCTCTGCCATCCATTTTGACCCCAGAGTAGGGAAGATCTGTTCCTGGAATCCCAAATTAGAACTCAGAACACATTTTCCCACAGAAACCAAGTAGAAGCAGTGACTAGGTCCAGTTGTAAGCCTATCCACAAGCACATCATTAGATAAATAGATTTTCTGTGCCTGGCCTGGGAACCCAAACACCATTTACAATCTTGCTTCTATGGGAAACTGCTGCTCCAAGTTCCAAATAGATTACAAAAGAACTTTCTGGAATGCAACCCATTTGTGAGTTGCAGGCAGTCTGTATTTGCATTTTGACAGGGGGCCTCCAAAAGGTTCAAATGCATGATTCTAATTGTAGGCTGTGAGATGAGGATAGACGGACAGGCCCTTAACCATCTCTTCAATCACATTAGGTAGGTAAGCGCCTACCCACCCCTTTGTCCCCCCGGGCCTGACCCCAACAGTTGGTGACAGACCTAAAGACCCAGAAAGCATGTAACGGATATGAATTTCTCATCATTAAGAGGAGGAATGTCCCCTCCCAATTAGTCCAGGCAGAAACCTGTTCGCTTAATAGTGCCATTTTCCTACAGACTGTCATTATATGAATGAATAATTCCCTTGCTGGTCAAAAGCTTCAGAAGCCAGCGTTAAAGCCCTTTTTGTTGAAGTTTGTCATGGGCCTTTCACCATGAATTGTTCAGCTAGGGCATACAAAGAGCCCCAATGCCTTTAACCGGAGCCATCTCTATGCAAACAGGAGGGCACCATGCCAGCAATCCAGGCCAGCTGGCTCCTCATAGACTCTCGGAGCCAGTCAAGTTGCTTCAGTTCAGCTCAGCTCTTACGGAGAGATGGCCCCCCGTGAGGCAGAGGTTGACCAATGTAATTAAGTGTAATTAGAGGGGTCCTTAAGAGCCAGTGGAGCAAGGCTGCTGCCCTCAGGAGAGCCACTTTCTGAAAGCCCGCTGCGTGCCAGCATTAAATACCACTCTGCTGGAGGCCAGGTTGCCCCCTCAGCCAAGGGCCCGTGACATTCTTCACAGCCATCTGAAATACAAGCAGCCCTCAAGAAAAGAAGGGGAGAGAGAGTGGAACCTGGAAGCACCGGTATTCTTTTTAATTGACCAAAACAAAGGCAACCAAATCTTGTGTAAAGCTATAGGGCTCCCTCCCCCAGGCTCACCGTCCAGCCATGAATGATGAAAAAGGTTTTGGCTGTCATATTGAAGCCACAGTCTTCCAGGGGCTGGTCACGGCCAAGAGAAAGGTCGCATCCTTCGTGCTTTTGGTCCTCAGAGATGACAAGGCTAAACTTCACAGATGGTTTGGCAGCAGGCTGTACATCCCTGGATTTGTGGGGTTCATCTGGGGAGACAGAACAGGGCGTGGGTGCATCTAGCGGCTTGAGCGGTGAGAGACCTTGGGTCTAGTTCTAGTTCAACCTTGAGCAAATTACTTAACCTTTCTGGGTTTCAGTTTTCACATCTGCTGAATGTTTCCTCCTCACCCCCTAGAGGAGCTGCAAAGATATTATAAAAGTTTCATCTCATCTATTTAAGAGTATTAATTAGTCACTAGTATCAATCACTGTGACTTTGAAATAAATAGGTCTTGTTTGCTTTTCTTTCTTCTTCCCTATCAAAATGAGTTCTCTTTCTTTTCCTCAAGTTAATACGTTTAGAGTATAGGTCCCCAGTTCTTTTCCTGAAATGCTTGGGACCAGGTGAGTTTCAGAATTCAGAAATTTTCAGATTTTAGAAAGGCATCATGGTACATATACCATGTATATGCATTATGGTGCATACCATATACCCAGCGGGGTTTGGAGCTCCTCATTTGTCAAACACACTAATGTTTCTGCAGGGAAACCCATGACTACTCACTCTCCAGGGCAAAAGTAAAGATTATAAATAGCCTCCTGATCATTCAGTTCAGTTTTTCCTGCCAAATGAGTTCAAGTCAGGTAAGGCCAGGTCTTACTGCCAAACAAGTTACCAAACAAATTTTCTGATTTTGAAAGATTTTGGATTTTGGAATTGGAGGCGAGAAGTTCGACCTATTATACAATGGGCTTCCCCTAGAATTCCCATCTTGATTCCAGCACTTACTCCAAAGGCCTCAGGCATCCTCAGTTCTCCTCAGAGTGCCAGACATGTGCCAGGCATCCTTCTAGTTTGTTAAATAAATAACTGAAGCCATGAAGAAACTCCTAAGAGCAGTAAAACCGCTCCTTCTAACTCCGCTGTTCACACACAGTGCCGTCTAGGGGATGGCCCTGCTCCCAAAACACAGCCGAGGTCACTGATGGTCCCTACGGCCTTTTAACACGAGGCTCTGTCATCACCACACTATTTCGGACGGCTGTAAATGAACCTCATCCTGCACGCTTCCAACCAGCCCGGAAACCATCCTCTGATAACGAGCCAGGAAATTAGAAGATCAAACTCTCCTATCACCCAGAAATCAAGGGAAAAGATAGCAAATGACCATCCCAGGAGCTTAATTTCTCCCAGAGTTAAGAAGCAAATGTAATCATTGAAAGAGAGACCAAAGCAGTGGAGACGGTGGTGGTGAAGGGGGCAAGGGGAGGAAGAGAACGCACCAGGTGTAAAAAGGATAGGGTTCCAAAAATGCAGCCAAATACACACAAGCAGCACTCGGTCATTAAAGCAAGAACAAAAGCCCCACCTGGCAGAAATTTGAACCATGGACATAACTAGTTTGACAACTCTTCAATGTCCACCCGGATAGCTACACGCAGAGACCAGATGGGGAAGTCTAGGAGAGAAGGAAAAGGAGTCTGCTGGCTTTCTGGGACAGGTTTGTGGATAAACCCACGTATGGACATAAAAGTTTCACCTTAGCATCTGGCCTCCTCTGACCCCAGAGCTCTCTAGCTTCAGTCCCATTGCTTCCAGCCTGGGTCACTTCAACCTCTGGGACTTTAGGATTGTTCTTCACCCAGATATCCTCATGGCTCTCACCTCTCACCTCACTCAATGGTCAATTTCTCAGTGAGGGAAACCCAACCACAGATGAAACCTGTACCACCTTCTCCCACCAGCACTCCGGACCTTCCTCCTGTGTTTTATTTTTCTCCGTAACACGGAACACCGTTTCCGTATTTTAACTAGTTTACTGTCTGTCTTCCCACCCCTGAAATGTAAGCTCCATGAAGGCAGGGGTTTTCATCCGCTCGTTCACTGCTATATTCCCCTACTCCTAGAAGAGTGACTGGCACTAAGCAGACACACAATAAATATTTTCTAAATGAATGAAATGGCCCACAAATACTCAGAATCACAGAACATAGAAGTCAGAAGGAACGTTAGCATTTTACAGCAGAGGAACCAGAGATGCAGCCTACTCCAGGTCACTCTTCCGTTAGCACTCGACTTGGCAACATGCTGAGTAAAGCGAGGCTTTCCATTCATTCAAATGAACCCTCCAAATGCACACAAGCTGAACCTGGATCAACATTATTCGGCCCAACCTCAGCAGAATAGTAGAAGATGAAATAATGGGGTATGCTTTAGGGGCTCCATGCTCTCCCCTGCTTAACTGACTTGGTTCTCCCACTGAGTAACACTACCCTCACCCTCTAGGGGCAGGCTTCTTCCAATGGAAGAAATTGCCCTACAGAACTTAGAAGAAGGAAAAGCTAGGAGCTAGCAGGAGAAAGATGAAGAAAAGTAGAAAGAGGAAAGCGGGCAGTTAGAAAAATTGTTGGAAGGGCCAGCCCCATGGCCAAGCGGTTAAGTTTGCGCACTCCGCTTCGCCGGCCCAGAGTTTCACGAGTTTGGATCCTGGGCGCAGACATGGCACTGCTCATCAAGCCATGCTGAGGCAGCGTCCCAAATGCCACAGCTAGGTGGACCTAAAACCGGGATATACAACTATGTATTGGGAGGCTTTGGGGAGAAGAAGAAAAAGGAAAAGAAGATTGGCAACGGTTGTTAGCTCAGGTGCCAATCTTAAAAAAAAAAAGTGTTGGGGAGGAGACTGGCAACCTGCAGGAATAAGCCCAGCAGCTTCTGGGCACAAGTTACTCACTAAATGGTCCCTACAAGCATAATCAAACCAGAGCCAGCTACCCTGCCACCTTAACTTTCAAAACGCCTACCCCAAATTTAAAAGCAGGGGCACCAAGCGACAGAGCTCTTTCTAACAACATTCTCGCCTCAAAAACCTCCAGCTCCAAAGACGAGGATAAGGTTGAAGAGCGGCCGGCAGCCAACTCGGCTGACTGGACAGCCCAGATTAAGGGAACCACATAATGGAAAGGGGTGGAGCGAGAGCGAGCGCGGGCGAGCACACCCGCCAGCCTACGGCCTCTTGGATGCCTCGCTAGGGATGCCCTGGTCAGAAGCGCCGAAGAACAAGTGAACTGCAAGGCTGATTAGGAGCAGAAAATGGACAGCGCAGCGGGAAAGGAAGGAGGATCTCGCAGAAAGGAGGATGGACGGAAGTAAGAGTCGACAAGACAGAGGGGGCCCGGCACAGAAAAGAAGTGGGAAGGGGTAAATAAAAAAAGTGCACGTTACCTTCCAGCCCGCCCTCTGGACCAAGGGGTGCGGGGCCTCCCGCGGCAAAGCAACAATAGACGCTCCAGAGGCAGAGCAGAAGAATGGAGTTTCTCATCCTTCTCCGCCACACCCCCTCCCGCGAAACAGGACTTTAAAAAAAAAAACAAAAAAACCCTCTAGGGATTTCCAGCAGTCCAAGCTGGTAAGATGAGAAGTAGGCAGCCTTCTCTGAACCAGAGTGTTGGGCTTAGACAGTTGAAGGCGGAGATGACGGAAAAGGAAAACTCGGCTAAACTGAGCCGCGGGATGCTGGGGAAGAGTGTGAAGTGGCTTGAACCAGAACCAGATCTACCCTCACCCGTGCCGCCTGCCCGGGAAGCCAGGGCTAGACACTGTCACACCGGAGAGGTAGTTTTTTAAAGTATCGGAGTCATCTGACCCATCGCCAGATGGTTATTTGCATAATTTATTCCCATCTCTGGAATCTGATTGGTCACACCTTCGCTGACGCCCAAACCGAGACTCCCGAAAGTTTGAATGAAAGCGCCGCACACCCACCGCGTGGACGCTCGCCACGCGCAGCCTCGCTGCTTCCTGCGCCTGCTCGGCCGGCGGCCACGCTCCCGCTGCCCTACTTCCTCCTAGTGCAGGTTCCCGGACCCCAGAGTCTCCGCTTGCCCCTGCTGCCCCAAAGCGGGGACCTTACCCCGAAATCCTGCGCCAGCTGGAGACTGGATGCCTGGAGAAGAAAGGTTATCCTCTCCAAGGCGCAAAGCCAGCCCCGCGCCCAAAATGATCTCTCCTCTCCCCGGGCCGAGGGTGTGGATGGGGGAGAGGCACCTGGTCACCCTTTTGGTTCTTCTCTTCTCCCTCTCCTCCCGCCCAGCGAGGCTCGTGACAGGTGCAGACCACGCGACCGGACTATAACCCTGTAGAGCTGAGCGGCTGTGGGCTGTGGCCCGGGTTTCAGAATCGCACAGACCCTTCTCGGAGTCCTCGCTCCGGCACTGGCTGCAAAACTCCTGGCAAGCCACCCAGCTTCTCCAAGGCCGTTCCCTCGTTCTCAGTACGCGGGTGATAACAGTCCTACCGCTTAGGGACGTGGGGGAAATTAGGCGATAAGGTCGTACAGCGCTTAGTGCGGCGCCCGCCACGTGGTAGGCGCTCTCTTACCTTGGGAGTGGAGGACTAGAGCAATACCAGGCGACACTCCCCAAAGGGAACAGTGAGCCGAGCTTGAGGGTCTCAGACGCGTGACCGGCGCCGAGTCTCGGCCGACGCGCGCAACTACCTGTTGCGTGGAATTAAGCAGCTTCTTCCTCTCCCGCAACATTTTTTCCCTCCTCTCTTTCCCTGTATTGATCCGCGTCCCTGCTCCTCCCTCGGGTGCCGGCTCCAGCTCCACCCGCGGGACCCCGGGACCCAGGGCCGCGAGCGCTGGGGACCTTGGCCCAGAATCCGCGTCTGGCGCAGGGAAGCCGGAGCCGAGCCCCGGGCACCCGCCAGGGGGCGGCCGGGATAACCGAGGGGCGGATGCTCCTCAACAGCTCCTGGGGACGCGGAGCGGGTGGGCTGAGCACCGCCATCCCGCCTCGTTCCAGCCAGCCAGAGCTGGCTCTGCCACGCTGCACCTTTGACCGCGAGTAACCCCGCCGCCGGGAACCCGTCCCGCTCCTGCCTGGGGAGGAAAACCGCCCGAGAAGCCCCACGCCCCTTCCTCCCCGGTGTCGGGGCCCCAGCCTGGGAGATCTGGGTGGGGAAACCAATCTGGAGGAACAGGTCCTGTTCCGACTGATATGCGTTACTTTTGTTACTCCAGCTGCCAGCGGAGCACGTTTTGTCCCTCTGGCGTGCTGTAATTCATTAAGGAGAGGCAGGCTGGCTTTATTTTTTTAGCATAAAACTGAATGCACTTTGTGGGATGGTAAAGGGTACCCCCAAATATGTTGCTTCCATCCCCTTCCTGCTCTTTTTCTCCATTGGCAAACTATCCAGACATAAACCAGGTGTTATCTCCATTTTACAGACGGGAAAACTGAATCATGGGGACAGGCTGGGGATTTGAGGAAAGTCTGGATAACCAGGTCTCTCTCTTCCGCTCTCGGTTTGATTTAGCCAGTTGACCTCTAAATATGAGCCCTTGGGAACCACGTCTCAGTCTCTTCAGTAACCTGTAAGCCAAAAATCCCTTTTTCTGCTGAGTTGCTCAAAGCCATAGTCCCTAGAACCTTAACTGAACAGTGTGAAGGGTGTGTCTTGGGGGCCTTTGTCACAAGTGAGACCCCCCAGGGGAGCTAGATATTCTGGCAAAGTTGGTTATTCTACCTGAGAGAGAGACAGAAAAAAAAAAAAAAACAGATTCGATAAAATCAACATGCATTTTTTTAACTGCCAAGGCTTTGAAACCATTTAAATGTTATTGCTGGTTGGTTAGAGTGCCCTCCTGTGTCTCTCTCTATTAAAACATCATGAGAACTTCCAAAGGACATAAGGAAATTACAAACACAGCATTAGAGTAGTGTATAAGATCAACTGTTTGTTATACTTCATACTTTGCAGAACAACCACAAGGAGATCTGGGGAACCTCCTGTGTGGAGGAAGTCTCTGCCTGGGGAGTTTCCGCAGAACCTTCTGTTTGTGTTGCAGTCAAAATTTCAGCATCTCAGGCTATACTAGGAAAGGACTGTGATCATTCTTTTTGGCCGCCCATCCTCTGAAGACACCTTCCTGTGTTAGAGGAATGCATCCCCCTTGCATGAGAGGAGACCACTTTCCACTACAGAAGCTGAAAAGCAAACACACACCTTTCCAGCCTCCCTTGCAGCTAGAGTTCCTGATTTAAACTCAGCCAATCAAACTCTGAGTTGAAGCTAGTGAGTCTAGAAGCTCAGAGCCACTCTACTCTGCCCAGCAGAGCAGCAGAGGAGCAGCCAGCTCTGGTTCTCTGGGGCAGCATTGGGCATTGCAGTCTGCCTGAGTGTTACCTTCCAAGCCTGGTTCCTTTGCCCTGCAGAGATTCAGATTGCTGCCTATTGTGCTTTTAATGAGTTCCTCTTCTGCATAAATGAGCCAAAGACTGTGTTGCTTACAATCAAGAAGATGACCTAATCACCAGATGCTTATTGAGCAGCTACTGGGGTAAAACACTAGGCTGAGCACCCTAAGGAATGTTCAGGAGACCATCCCTGCTCTCACAGACACAACATAGAAAGTTAAAATTGCTGAAAGAGGGGCTGGCCCTGTGGCCGAGTGGTTAAGTTCATGCACTCCGCTGTAGGCAGCCCAGTGTTTTGTTGGTTCGAACCCTGGGTGCACACATGGCACTGCTCATCAAACCACGCTGAGGCAGCGTCCCACATGCCACAACTAGAAGGACCCACAACAAAGAATATACAACTATGTACTGGGGGGCTTTGGGGAGAAAAAGGAAAAAAATAAAATCTTTAAAAAAAAAAAAAGTGCTAAAAGACTTCCATGTAAGAGGTGCCAGACATCTGGACCAGTACTGTCCAATAGAAATATAATACAAGCCTTAGTCAGCTTTGGCTGCTGTAACAAAAGTCTATTGACTGGGTGGCTCAAACAACAGAAATTTATTTTCTCAAAGTTCTGGAGGCCACAAGTCCCAGATTAGGATGGTCAGGTTCTAATGAGAACCCTCCTCCTGGCTTATAGATAGCCACCTTCCCACTGTGTCCTCACGTGGCACAGAACAAGAGAGAGCAAGCTTTCTGGTGTCTGTTCTTATAAAGGCACTAAGCCCATCCTTAGGGCTTCACTCTATGACCTCATCTAAACTTAATTATCTCCCGAAAGCCCCCTCTCCGAATACCGTCACGCTGGGGGTTAGGGCTTCAACATGTGAAGTGGGGTGGGGGCCGATTCAGTCCGTAGCACCACATATGTAATTTTACCTTTTCTAGTAGCCACATAAGAAGGTCAATAAGTGTGAAAGTAATTTTAATAATATATCTTATTTAATGCAATATATGTAAAATATTATTTCAACATGTCAATATAAAAATTATTAATGAGATATTTTATATTCTTGCTTTGAAATCCACTGTGTATTTCATACTTATGACACATGTCAAATCGACTAGCCACATGTCATATCAAATGCTCAATAGCCACACATAGCTAATGGTTACCATATTGGACAGCATAGATCTAGAGCGTTAAAACTAAAACAAATCTTAGAGATCACTTAGTACAACCACCTCACTTTACAGATAATGAAGTCAAGACCCAGCTAGATTAACT